AATGTAAATTTATAGAAAAATTGATGAGGTCCTATATAATTTAACTACAGTATTACTATAGTATTACTACAGAAAACACCCGTTTGTTATTCAACCATCTTGTCCTACAAAATAGCTATTGATCATATGAGTGTTAAAAGTAGGGTTTTATTTTGTGAGTGAAAAAGTTTGCTAAACGAGCGTAGCGAGTTGAGCAATTTCACGAACAAAATAAAACTTACTTTTAACACAAATATTATACAAAGTTTTTTGTACAACTGTCCTGTTCTCATAATAAAATAGATAAATTCAATATTTCTATAAAAACACTTCATGTCAGTTAACTATTTTCATGTTATCGCATTTGGTGTGAAGTAGTCGTGTCAAGTGACGGCGAATTACCTGGTTACCAATAAACGCTCACGCGTTTCATTTAAAGACATATTTGAAGTTCTTGCTGGTGTTTAATGTCTTGCAAAATGAAGAACAATAGTGAGGAATTGTGTGTTCCTGACGATATTGAAGAGTCTGCAAAAAGAGTTTCAATCGAATTGTTACCAAAAAAATCGGCTCAGCAGTACGACACCGTATATTCTAATTTTTTCAGCTGGTATAGACTTTAAAACGTCGAAGGAAATTTCAGCGAAACCGTCTTCTTAGCCTATTTAGAAGAGAAATCAAAAATATGGAACTCGTCAACTTTGTGGAGTAAGTTTTTAACGATAAGGTCGAGTGCGCTCGTTAATACAAGCAAATATTTCAAGATAATAGCATTCTTGAAAAGTGAAAATGAAAGTTATAGGCCCAAATAATAAAAAACTCTTACGTTTGAACAAGTCCAGAGGTTTATAAATGCGGCTTCAGGTGAAAAATATTTGATGATAAAAGTTACTACTATTTTCGGAATATACGGAGCCTGTCGGAGTGAAGAGCTGTGCCATTTATTAATAAAAGATATTGAATAAATGGATAAATCATTGATTGTTCAGATCCCAAATACAAAAACGAAAATAGGTCATTCTTTTTGCATTGTTGGAAAAACATTGACTATTTTAATAAATACGTTGCATTACGTCCTTCTGTTATCAATCATCAACGTTTTTTCTGAAATACACAAATTATAAATGCAGTGCCAACCCAGTTGGTATAAACACGTTTGGGAAAATGCCCTCTACCATTGCTGAATTTCTGAACCTCCCGGAACCAAAGGATATTCAGGTCACTGTTTCAGAAAGAGAATTAGAAGCAGAATCAGGAGCAAATATAACGGATATCAAGAAGAACGGAGGATGGAAGTCTACAACAGTACCTGAAGGTTACATCGATCAATCTACTTCTTATAAAAAGGCTATTGATGAAAGAATAATCCCAACAGCTAGCTTCAGCGAACAGCGTCGTCCTTCTCACTTCAAGAATTAAATGTTAATTCCCATGAAATTGTCAACTCAGATAGTTCAAATATATTACAAGGCTCTTTAACATCGCAAGGTATTAATATCACCAGTTCTTCCAATTGTACTTTTCATATCAATGTTCATATTGTTCATAAGAAAACTTCTTTGAAACTTGAATAATTATGTTTTGTTTATTGCTATTTGGTCGAAAAAAAATCATGTTAATACTTTTAACAGTAGTGTTGAAAATATTTTTAACACGCTACTTTGTAAACATCATCTCTTGACAACTATTAAAAATGTCACTTTTAATGACATTTGTACAAAAATTCATTTTGAAATTCAAGAACTTCAACAGAGAGACATCAATTATATAAAATGGTTGGGAAAACAGAAAACATTTTTCGTAAATTTTGCAAAGACTGCACAAAGCATACCAATAAAAAACAACACTTTCAGTTGCTAATACCGTAAAAAAAAATTGATGTGAATTAAAAAGAAAAAAATACCATGAATCGTGTATAAACCATCAGAACGATCAAATTTCCACTGCAAGACTAAATAATGTAATCACAAATCAAATATGATTTACATGTAACAATTATATTTTGAATCATATTTGCACGTCTAGAACACTCATGATTGGATTACCTTATGCAAAAATAATATTGAACTAAATGAAAGTATGTAGTTTAGCACAACATTATGTAAAAACACTGCATCACCCAAACCGAAAGAAAAGTATTTTCAAGAAGAATATTTCAAGTTGAAATCAATATAGTTGCCCTCACTATTGCTATATCGGAAATGGCAAGACTTACAAGGTTACCTAAATTAGACAATAGTTATTACAGGGGATATGAAAACATTTTTTTCAATCATGACTGCTAATAGTCAAAATTAAAATTGCCGGATTTACCTTGTTGTTTGTTTGAAATTTGCTGTTGAAGGTTTGTTAAACTGGTTTTAAGCGATTTTCCACGCGACGGTTCGTTCATTGGATTCCATCAACGTTCTTTTTAATGGACATCTATTTTAGTAGTCACTATTCTCCTTGGAGAAAAATATCAGAGTCAGGTCATACAAAGCCCCGTTGGAGATGTCCCAAAAAATTTGAGATTTATATTCCTCATATCTAGAAATCGAAAACGGATCGACTCCAACTGACTCTTGGAAAGTTGCAAGTAGATGTGAATATCCATTCATTTTTGTAAAGTGTTTATAAATCAAGTATTACCTCAAATTCGGCAGAGTATCAAAATACAGTATTTTTCTACATTTCCGTTCCAAAAAACATCATAAAATTATGTTACTGAAAAATTAGACATGCACGAGGTTTGTTCAAAAATTAGGGTGAATTTTCATTTTTTGCTTGGCATTAGCATTTTTTATTTCACGGCTTACTACGAAAACGATTTCTCAACAATTATAGGTTTTTTTAAATATTAGAAATAAGCATTCATGCTTCACGAAAATTTATTTTGAACACTACTTGTATACTACAATAAAAAGAAAGAAATGCATCAACTTTCAAATCTAACTGCAAATTTTTCAGGCATATCAAGACAGAATAATTAGGTTCCATTAATTTAAATGGGCATTATTTTTTAATATTGGTGTAGTGACATATCTAAATAATTTCCGCCAGCTAAGGAGGTTCATTTATTTTACCCAATAGATTCAAATGTGCGTGGTGATCACGCATCTATCATTGTTTGGGTTAGTTTGTTTATTGGTTGGACAGAGTTTAGATAAGCGCTCACTCCCTGCTCTAGAGATGATCGATATGTGCAGGTTATAACCCGTTTTTTTGGGATATTATTTCAATTCCAGCAAACTTTGCAATTTGCTTTTTAGTTACAGATTCGAACCACTCTGAGAAAATAGACAAATCCCTCCGTATTTAATGCTTTTTCTGCAATGAAAAGATATAAGGCTGAAATTTGCAATTTGCACTTGTTACTTTTGTTTCATTAACCCAAATTTCAGAGACCAATCTAAGGCTAATATCAGTTTCTACAAAAATGCTTCAACTTATTACTAATATTCTGAATGGTAATATAAAAAACATCTTCAATTCTGATTTTAGATTTCATGTCACAATCATTCTAGTAGAGTTGGAATTTGGTGCATTATTTATTTCTAAGGACTCAACAGTTAAGCCTCTTGCGATTGCCTTAGATATGAAAATATGACTCCATTATTTTTCTTCCCTGGACGTAATGCGATTGATATCACGTAGTGTTAGGAATTACACGTTAAAAGGTAAGACCTCGTTGATCTTTAGCTCGCACAAGTTTCGACTTCAGAGGGTTGTCGTTCGTAGGGGTGCGACAGCTGGTTAACTGAAAACATATTTCAAACAGATATTTAAACAGTTCACAGGCTAAGGATTCATGTTGGATAAAAGATGTACTGTTTGTGATACTAGTTGATACTGCTAACTTTTTGTTGTTATGAAGTACCAGATGGCCCCACACAGAAATAACTTTCTCTTTTATATTAGATATTTCAATTTTCTCAGGTAGTTGTTGTATTTAAAGATACAGTTCCACCGTGATGGTGGGGCTATTATTAGTATTCAATTTCTACGTGCATGGTTGTGTGGAACTCTGACTGTAAATGACTACACTGCTTTCCATCGTTTCGTATTTGAATGCATTTCTGTTTCTGGGTTATTATTGACATATAATTTCTTCTCTCGCTAGTATTACCTTTGATATAACTTTGTTTCAATAGATTCATTTTTGACCGTTAAGCCTTTTTTCAGTTTATAAACTCCATTTGGTGCACTCATTGTTTGATAGTAGAATTTGTTTTTTTTTCTTTATGTTACTTCTTTCAAAAACAGCTCATTTTTCGCGTCTTTCATTTCCATACTTTCTTCCGGCTCACTTATTGCCTATTTCAAAAAACTCTGCTCGATATCAGGAGGATTATCTACAATACATCAATACTTTTTTTATTGGAATTTTCAATTATAGAAATATATAAAAAAAGAAAATAATACAAATTATGAAACAAAAACAAAAATTAATTGATGATCCGTGTCGACTTGATTGATTCCAGTGGCGCATTGACCGGAAAAACCTGCAGCACCTCATCATCTGAAGACCTTGATCTGCAAATGTCCTCTCTTTCATATAATAAAATGTAGGGTATCTCCAGAGGCTATAATACATTCAAAATATTGCCAAAATATTTAGTGACACGACTACTATCGTCAAACTTAAACCAGTCCGTTTCGTAATAATTATCAGATTCAACGCCAGAACCAAAGTGAACAATGACTGCATGAAGATTATAATAGTGGTCTGCTAGATTGAAATGATCATCTATTTAGAACAAACTATTAGAAAGTCTCTCGACGCGCGTTTTGCTAACCAAGTTAGCATCATTAGGAGATGGAACAGTTTTGTCTAATTTAATCAACATTTTGAGTGTTACCATTTTCGATACAGTAATAGTGGAATCTGCTAAAATTAATGGTATATTGAAAGTAATGTTTTATTTACTATTTTTACTGTGAGTTCACTCTTGTCGTTATACTTAACGAAAAAATCAAGTAAAAAAAGCTGCATATGACAACATAAATGCGAATAGTATACAAAATAAAGGAACACATACCTTGACTGGAGGAGCAGCTTTGTTCCCCTGCTGACTCGGGCGGTGAAGATACGCTGGTTTTATCACTTTCTTCCTCTTTTCTTTTCAGGGCCTGAAATGGGCAATTCGAGTGGTTGATTTATTGCATTCATTTGATGAACATAGGAACAAACGACAACAATGAACAGGCAAACAGCAAGCAAATGTATAGCAAATATAATTATTAACATACTCAATTTGTGGTGAAATTAACAGATAGTCCGGGACTATCAAACTTCTGCTACCTACTACTATTACTAGATTATTTATTGTGAAAGAATATAATTCTGGAACCATCAATGGCATGATCAAACACATTTTTATCCCGAGGATTTATTTTATATTTTCAGCTGGTGAGTTTAAAGAGTAGTTAATGGAGACCTCAAGATTAGATATAGGTCAGATTACTCTCAAGACATCATACTATAAATAACTATGCAAATTCTGATAGTTTTGAGTTTCGATATATGCAGATAATCTGAATTATTTAATAAGGTGATCTCCAGTTAGAAGCGATCGTCCTTCAAAATCTCTCCAACTATTCGAGTTAGATGATATAAAAGAACACTTTTCATTCAAAATTTCAGTAGTCAGTTCAACTTTGTAGAAATGAGAGTGTTTTTGGTAAGTAGCAAAACGATATTTTTAAAAATAAATATTACTACTGAAGCAATTCGAAAGAGTCCTATTTACTGAATTTTCAATCTATATATATGATATCATTATTCAAAATTGACTATATGCTCTCTTTGAAAAAGAGAATATTTTAAATATATTTTTGGGAGAAAATTGTGCAGCATACATTTTTTGACACAAAATCATTTTCGAACAGTATGGGCTTTCAAAAATGTATCTTTTGGTCTCCAGCTCCATGTAAAATCTTGAAAATGAAACTCATTCGAGGCGAAAATTTACGTATTATATCCGAAAAGTTTCCCCATTTACACAATCACCAACTGATCCTAACAATTTCTCGCACGGAAAGATGGCCATTTCTGAGTTTTCCTTTAATTTTGATTTATTAGTAGTCCAATATAATTGGTCTTCAATTATTTTTGGAATACTGAAAATCAAAGTTCATTCACTGAAGTTGAAAATATATATAAATAAAACATCATATTGATTTTTGTAGTGTTTGGCTCTTCTTGCTGTGTCAGCAGTAAATGCTGCTGGAAAAACAAAAACTGGACTGGATAAGTCATCGGAGAAACCGAAACGCAGTCTTGTTTTCCATGATGGTGGATTAGGAGGGATTAGCGCATATGGCGGCATTGGAGGCATTAGCGGAATAAGTGGACTTAGCGGACTTGGCGGAATATCTGAATGTAAGTATCATGCTATAAATTATTTAAAGGCGTTTTTGATTCAATAACCTTCTCAATACAATTCTCTATATAATTCTCTTCACGAAATCAACAGGCCAGTCCAACTTTAGCGATTTAATGATAAATTTTTGGAAATATTTCATGATGAGAACATACTCTTTTATCTTCATCAAACGCAGCCCTTTCAAAAAATGAGGCGTATACTAAAATTATATTCATAAACTTGAAGTGAATGATATTATTATTTTTATTTACAGCATCTTATGGACTCAGAGGTGCTTCCAGCTACGGAATTGGTAGCGCTTCCGCCTACGGACTTGGTAGTGCTTCCGCCTACGGACTTGGTAGCGCTTCCGCCTACGGACTTGGTAGCGCTTCCGCCTACGGACTTGGTAGCGCTTCCGTCTACGGACTTGGTGGCGCCTCCGCCTACAGATTAGGTGGTGCTTCGGGTTACGGATTAGGTGGCGTATCCGGCTACGGAGTCGGTGCAGCTCTTGCATCAAGCTATGGATTGGGAGCCGCTTCTTACCAACAACATCCAATTCCTCATTCACATGAATACCGCCAAGTATCTCAACACGTACCAATAAGAGTACCCCAACCATACCCTGTAACAGTTACCAAATCTGTACCTGTGCCACATCCTGTACCCGTAGAAGTACCAAGGCCTTATTCGGTGCCTGTTCAAGTGAGAGTTCCAGTAGAAGTACCCAGACCATACGAGGTTAAAGTACCAAGACCTGTAGCAGTTCCAGTCCAAGTTAGGGTTCCCGTAGAAGTTCCTAGGCCATATCCAGTTGAGGTTTCCAAACCAGTACCAGTTGAAGTAGAAAGACGAGTAGTTGTTAAAGTGAGCTGCATTCTCATTTTTATATGTATATAGAACATCAGTCTGAAACTTCATGCCTTTTTTTTTTCAGGTTCCAGTTTCTGTGCCCGTCTCAGTGCCACAACCCTACACAGTCCAAGTACCAACACCCGTACAAGTGAGAGTACCCACCCCAGTATACGTAAAAGAACGCAAATATGTTCACACTTACAAGAATATTGACCATGGGGTGGTAAAGAACGGTGCAGTCAGTGGTGGATTAGCTAGTGGTGGATTAGTTAGTGGTGGATTCGTCAGTGGTGGATTAGTCGGCGGTGGACTGGGAAGCAGTGAATTAATCAGTAGTGGATTATCTAGCAGTGGATTGGTGAGCGACGGAGTGGTCAGTGATGGATTGGTCAGTGGTGGATTATACAATGGTAATTTGCCTGGTGGCATATCAGCCTACAGCGAAGGGATTAGAGGTGGATGGCATTCCGGTCCTCTGAATTCATACAGCCATGGAAATTATCACAGCGAGTCTTGGAAATAGAGACGTTTTATAAATAATTTGCGACAAAATTAATATTAAGCGTTGAAAAATCAAGTTAAAGTTGGAAGTGATAATGAAAGATCAATCCGACAGTTTTTTTATGAATTATTTTTAGTGCAAGAGAGTTCAAGATTATCAGCATTTATAAAAGTTCATGTTTGGTAAAAAAATATCGAAATTAATTTATATCTTCTAAACGGTAATAGATAGGTATAGGGAAATAGTATATGAATTTGTTGACAAAGTGATAATCAATCATAATATGATATATACGGGGTGTTCCATTTGAAAAATCAAAGAAACCGCTACTTTATAGTAGAAGCGAAAACGCCGCTTCGTCTGAAATATTTTAGGCGTGTAGGTCATATTGATTTATGCATACTGTGAAATTTTCAGGTTGATCCGTTAAACAGTTTGTCAGAAACGGCTAATTAACGCTCATCATGGAAAGCCCTGTATACAAATTATCAACCTTAATTAATAGAGATTACTAATTGGTCAACAGGTAGTTATAAGAACAGGTATACACCCGGTACAAAGCACGTAAAAATTATTGTTACTAATGATTCAACTAATTCTAGGGAATTTTTTCATAAAAATTAATTTAAGAGTGAGAGATTGACCTCTTGTCGGTCGTTTAATAGGAAATTTGGTTGTTAACGTTTACTAACTTCCAGGGGTTCCAGGAAGTTTAATTTATTTCCTTTAATTTTTTGTATTTAGTAGATTTTATGTCGAAGTCGTGGTTGTTTTCTAACGAATGGCATGCATTGGTTGAAATGGTTTTCTTGAATTCAAAATACATTTTTGAGTTCGGAGATTCTTGTTTCAATTATCTACCTGTTCTTCCAATGTAAACTTTTGGACACGAGCCATATTTCATCTTGTTGGCACCAAATTTATTGTCCTTGTCGATGTTGGATTTGTTGTTTTTCATATGTCTACTAAGGTGTTATCATTTTTGTATGCTATGTTGATCTTCTGTTCTGTGGTATGCTGTATGCATACCACAACAGACGAAATGCATATATTTCGTCTGTTGGAACACTTTTTAATACAGTTAATTGTATGATGTTCAATATAAAGGGTTTTACAAAAATCACGACACGTGTTTCGTTATACAATAGCTTTCTCAAGCGTAAAATAATAAGTTACTTCTAAATATTTTATACTCTAACAACATATTACCTACTTGTATGCCTACTTTCTAATGAATAAATATACCTGAAAGGGTCAGGTATAAATTCATTAACTATATAAATAAATTAAATTTCCGAAAGTACCGTAATTATATTTGATTTTTCTTATCTGGTAATAAACAGATTCAATAATGGAGAATTATTCAGTTCAATTTGATCGTTCATAAGATATTGAGAGATATGTGACGGAATCGGCCGATACTTGATGAAAATCCATAACTTTTTTTGGAATACGTTAGATATTGAGAGTTTTCAAATTTGTTTATTTCCATACTCTCCAACAGGTTAAGTTTCAAACCTTTCTTCAGGAAATATAGGGGCTTGAATTCATGGTTGTACTCATGCCCCTTCTGTGATTAAATGAGTGACATATGTGGAATTAATTTTTCCATTCTGGAAACTATTTCTGTGTTCCTTTATGCGGGCTTTGAACGTTCTTTCAGTTTGACCTATATAAAACATCGGACATGACCCACATGATAATTTATACACTCCCGATTTTTCTGAAACTGAACTTTTATCTTTGTTATTCCTAATGTGCATGCCTAAGTTATTCTTAGTTTTGAAAGCAATATTTACACCTTTGTTGTGCAGAAAATTTTAAATATTCGTATTTGTTTTATTATGTTTAGTTCTTTATTGAAATTCGCATCTGACATGGAAATATTTATCAATCTGTGGATCATACTGTTGAATGCTGCTACTTACTTTGTGCTGATACCGGTGGATGGACGAATTATGAATAATATCTGTGCTGAATTACGATAAATTGAAAAATCATGTTTGTTGTTAACTTTCGTTATTGTCAAGTCCAACAAAATTTTATAGAGTCGTCCTTTTCCATCTCCATAGTGAATGTGATAGAAGGGTGGAGAAAATTGATAAAATTCAAGAACTTGAAGTCAATTGTTCCCGTGAAAAATACCAGGATATTATCTACATATCTGTACCAATCAATACACCAAACTTCTCACCAGTGGATTATTGTGTATTTTTCTCTCCAATTCATCCATAAAAATTTCTGCCAGAATGGACTAAGTGGGTTTCCCATTATGAGACCTTCGCAGGACAAGTAAATAATTTCATTGAATTGGAAGTAATTCTGTGACAAACAAACGGTAAGCAAGTCTAATATTACTTGTTTCACTACAGGATTGACAGACCTTTCGTCCAATAGATTATCTACAAGAGTAATCGTTTCATTCGGAGGAATACTGGGAAACAGATTCTTTACATCGAATGAAATCAATTTGGCATTATCCGGGAGGGTAATATCTTGAATTTCATTGATCAAATGGTATAAATTCTTCAAACTGAATTTTGATTTGAAATTGGTGTGGTTTTGAATAATTGCGATGAGTTTTTCAGATATTTAAACTGAAGGAGCTGTGACAAAAAAACTACCGCTCTAATCGGGTAGTTATCTTTGTGTAATTTAATCAATGAATAAAGTTTAGGTAGTTGTGGGTTCATGACTAACGATCTGAATTTTTCTGTTTCATCCACGACACAATGAATATTTTTCAATGTTTCCTTGACTTATTTCTGATATAAATGGGTAGGGTCGTTACTGAATGTTTTTTAGGATATGCATACGAAATGAAGATCAAGATTCGCAGCGTTTTCTGTGGAGGGGAAGAGATACAGACGGACCTATCCTTACCAAATGAAATCCATGATTTTCGGAGCAATATGTTCTCCAAGCTCTGCGATCTACGTCCTTCGTGAAAATGCCAAAAAACATGGAAAGAAATATCCAGAAGCAGTGAAAGCTATTGAAAAATATCATTACATGGATGATTTCTTAGACAGTTTTGAAAACGAAGCAGAAGCCATTTAAATTGTTCACGGAGTCATAAACATCCATAATCAAGGCAAATTCAGAATGATAAACTGGGTCAGCAAATTTTAGTCATATCCTGACAGATATAAGTGCTGAAATACTATCCAAAAGTATTACCGATACTGGAAAGTTACCCACGCCTGAAAGAACTTTAGGTTTAATATGAAATACAAAAGATGATCTTCTCAGTTTTTCTGATACATTTTTGAAAAAACATGAGAAAATAATTGTAACTGATAATCTTCCCACGAAAAGAGAACTATTGAAAGTGGTAATGTCAGTTTATGATCCACTTGGCCTGTTAGCAGCTTCCACTATACAAGCCAGAATTTTGATGCAGGAAGTATGGTCACATAAAATTGCATGGGATGATAAAATCACTCCTGATCTATTTGGAAAATGGAAATCTTGGCTATCTGCAGTGTATAAAATAAAAAATTTGAGAATTCCTCGATGGGGTGGATTCAGCAGTTCTATTGTTGAAATTTAACTACAGACTTTCACAGATGGCAGTGAAAAAGGATATGTTGCTGTGACATATTTTCGAATGAAAGACTCCAGTGATCAGATCAAAACGTCTTTGGTAATGGCTAGGTCAAGAGTCACTTCCTTGAAACTCATGACAGTACCTTGAATTGAACTTCAAGCGCAGCTCTTCTTGGATCAAGATTGGCTAAAACTATCGAAAATGCCCACAGCATAAAAATTGATATAAAATTCTTCTGGACTGATTCTTAAATAGTTTTGAGTTGGATCAAGTCGCATCCAAGAAAATATAAGACTTTTGTTGCCAACGGAATTGAAGAAATTTCTTAAAATACGAATCCTGATGAATGCCATTGGCTATCCACAAAGTTCAATGTAGCAGATGAAGCGACTAGGGGTCTCTGGAACATTGATAACTTTCAGAATTGGTTTGAAGGTCCTCAGTTCTTAACTTTAGAAGAGATTAAATGGACTCATGTTGAAGAAAAGATAGAAGATGGTACAGAAGTAGAAAAAAAGAAGAATTTTGTTTGTGTTATCAACAAGAGGTATGAAGAAATTATCAATTTTTCTAGATTTTCGAATTATTTACGACTTGTCAGATTGGTCGCTTGGGTGATAAGATTCGTTTATCTCATGAACAAGAAAATTGGTCTACCAACTCCTCAGATTTTTTCAAGTGAGCTAACGGTTGAAGAATTTGAAAAGGCTGAACTTGAAATTATTAGGCAATTACAAATGAGTGTTTCTTCGAAGATATTGAGATACTCAATCATATGAAGAATCCTAGATAACAAAGTCGTCTTCGAAATTAAGCGGACGATTGGATGAAGCACAACACCTAGATATCAATATGAGACGGCCAATTGTTCTGGATTCAAGAAACTGGATGACCATGTTATTGATAAGACATTATCATAAACTGAATCATCATCAGGGAAGAGAACAAATCATAAACCATTTAAGGGAAATATTTTGGATAATCAACGTTAGATCAGCATTATATGTAAGAAGAAAAACGCCAGGGTTGAAACTCAGTAGACTAATTCCAGATTTTAGGACAGTACAACAATGCAGACCATTCTTGATTACAGCCATGGATTATTTTGGCCCAATGACAGTAACAATTAGTAGAAGGAAGGAAAAGAGATACGGGATTATCTTCACATGTATGTCAATGAGGGCAATTCATCTAGAGCTGGCTTCTTCCCTAACTACAGATTCTGCCATCAGAAATATACTCTGATAATGGATGAAACCTCTGCGGAGCTGAAAAAGGAATGAAACAAGCCATCAAAGAACTAGATTCAAACCGAATTCAACAGTTTTGCTGTATTCGTTATATAAAATGGTTCGAGAATCCTTCAGCAGCAAGTCATATGGGAGGAATATGGGAAAGAATGATTAAATCTGTTAAAAGTGCCTTAAAAGTGATTCTTACCCAACAGAGCCCAAAAGAAGAGATTTTGCATACTCTTATAGTTGAAATTGAGTATACAGTGAACAGCCATCCCTTAATGTATGTGTCTTCTGATCATCAAGATGCGGAAGCTTTGACACCCAATCACTTCCATAT